GATCAGGTATAAATATGGCATGAGGGCAGTGTGGTTCGCGAAAAACAACCTTGTACCGGTTTCGCGGCAAAAAATTGTAAGGGAGGGGCGCTATAGCGCAATATAGGTTCAGTGACGCCTCCTTTTTTCCAGTGACTCCGCCTCCAGACTCCGCCCTCAAGGCCCGCCTTTCAGTGAAAACGAAGCTGCAGGACGAAAAAGCATGAAAATCGTCACTTGTACGGTCGTAGAGTTCTTATCGGGGAATCAGCTGTGCGGATGGGGCGTAGTGTTGGAGATGGAGTTAATTGGGCACGTACAAACTGGGATCGAAATGGGGTTCTATCTAGGGCAGTTGGCATGTTTTTCTGCTTTTTTTTCTTCACTATCGAGTTACTCAACACCTTGTCGTCTATATGGAAACCCCTAATCCACTATCTGTGATGGCGAATGATCGCGGCTTTGCCTTTAAAGATTGCCAATCTGACTTACTTCAGACGAAGAAAAGGGTTCTGCAGTTTTCAAGGGTTGCCTTAACGGATGAAAAAGATTTTCATTATGAGAGATGTATTCGGCAGAGGAACTACCAGCTAATGAGCCCTATGTGATCAATGCCACTGAACTGCAAGTTTCCACTGGCTGCTCATCATAAGAGTAAGAATGACCGCAATGATCGGGAGCTTTAGGCATTTTTTCAAAATAATGAAGCATGTAGAAAGCAACAGAGTCCATTTCTGTCAGTAGTCACTCTGGTTTTTTCCTGATCGAAATGGAAATGTTCAGTGTCATTTCCGCTTACCCAGCATGTTTCAGGAAGACTGCCAAAGCTGGTGGACCTTTGATGTGCCTGACAAGTACGTAGGAAGCAAAGAGACGTACGATTTAGGAACCGTGACACTTGAATGGGGCGGTGAACATTTTCACCCTGGCTGCTCGGCTATTCATCAATTGGGACATTGGATAATGAATTTTTTTATTCGTTAGTGTTGCATATGAGAGAGCAAAAGACAGCTGCCTACAGTCGAATTTTTTTATGTATTTCAGCTAAAATTTAAATGAGCCACAGGCGAATGTAAAGACGCAGCCGCCTGCCAGAATCCGTAGTTCTCGTAGATACAAGTAATAAAACTCGCTCCACTAAGCACCTATTCATTCTCAACAAGACTACAATCAAAAACGCTTAAGAGCAGGCTAGAGCACGGTGTGTTTGAAATGATAATACTGTAATTTCTTAAAGCAGGGCATAGCCTCGAGGATCGCAGGGGGGGGGGTGTTGTTCTGTGGACGGAGGTCGTATGATGAGAGGAACTTTTCGAGCTGCAAGGAAGACTTTTCCTTTCTTACGGACTTTACTTTTACCCTATTTAGCGGTACTCGGAAAGCCCCCTCCCAACGAGGCGAAATTTTTCTGGAAAAATGGTGAAACTTCAGAAAAATGGTAGAGGGCTGGAAGCAGGGCACATCATCGTTGAGGATTCCCCAACAGAAAATCGTATTGCGTCGCTGTGGAGAGGGGGTCTTTTGGTCCAGGATAGCTTTTCTTTTCTTTTTCTTGATTCACCGACGCCTCCCCCCCCCCGCTCTACAGCTCGATCGTCCAGAGGATGGAACCAGGGGGGAGGGTTATATCAACCAGCTTTTAAGGGGGAGGGGAGATCGTACGGACCGATCCCCGACCAATGATGCGTCCTAGTTTGAAGAATTTGGTGAAGATCGACAAGGTGGTGTGCATGTTCTAAGAGAGGGTCGTAGTGGAAGAACAAGTTGTAACCGTCGTGATGACACCACTATTTCACCCATCCCGAGCTTTACCCTATTTTCAAGAAAACTGGGAGCGCAAGCGTGCCATTCCCTACATTACCGCGGTTTCCTAACAGGGCTTCACGATAATTTGGTCTTGCTGAAAAATAGTAGCAGAGGTGATTTATAGTTGGAAAATGACGGAAAAGCGAAGTTAAACGCCTAAAAACCTGAAGAGAAAAATCTTTATTTTGCGCTGCATTCAGCGAGAATGAATTTTCGGACGAGTTTCCCGATTGGCATCTTACCAACTATCAACTTGACAGATACGTCTGCACGTATATGTAATCATATATCAACGCAGCAGCGGTTCATATCCATTCACTTCACGAATGAAGCGATAATAGTGCCAGCGTCGATGCTACGGTCCGATATGTGGGCGGGCGGTTGCGATGGGCGTCTGGGTGGATGTTTCACCTTGCTTGGGCGCTAAAACGGTGCCTTTGCTTGGAATAGGCGCCACGCAGCGCGTGTAAGAAGGGCAATATTCTTTCGGGCTAGGCAACAGGGCACAGCATTCGATGGGGATTTTGGTCGAGCTTTTACGACCCCCCCCCCTTTTTTTCAGGGGCTGGTACGACCCCCCCCCTCCAAAACGTCCGCAAAGCGAGAAAAATCAACTATAAAAATAAATTTTTCCCAGCCCAAATACGACCCCCCTTTTGGCGGCCAAATACGACCCCCCCCCATAGGGAATCCCCAACCAATGCTGTGCCCTGCTAGGCAAAAGGACTTTGTCGGTTTATAGTGCGACATGCCTTTAACAAGAGTTTACAGGTCCAAACAAGAGGCATCGGCTGTAATCGATGGAATCCAGCAAAATGCCCCCATCGAGCCGGACTCCGCCCACTTCCTTTACTGGACAACACCGTATCATCAAGAACATTCGAAATTTTACTGAGTCTCGATAGGGTAAAATCATACAGATGGCTTATTGTTATGGCAGGCATATTGGATGAGAGGTCCCTGGAACTGATGTCCGATGAGATCACCAATGAGAGGAAGTCGATCACTACCAAAGAATGGCTCCACCTGACCCGCGGTTCGTTGCACGTGGATCCAAGGTGCTCCAAAGCACTGAATATAGATGATGATAGAGATGTATAGCAACTTTCAGAAACTGGCTATGTAAGAGGCAAAGCTAGGGACATAGACAGAATACCTACTCCATGAGTAACGGCCTCGTCTGTGTTGGTTCTCAACGCAGCTTTCACCTCTTCCGTTATGGCAAGCTGCAGAAGGGCATCGATGTCAGCAACGTGAAGAGTTTTGAGTACCTAACAACAGTTGTTGAAGTCTTCGACAATTACGAGGCACTGTTCGGCTTAGGGGGGGGGGTGCCCGTGCACACCACAGACGACGTGATCAGCCACGTTTATACATTTTCATCTTTAAAGTAGAACGATTAATCTGGTATTAGCTTCATCAACATTACACTGAACGTTACTGGAAGGAACTTTTGGTCCTGGTACTGTTTGATGTAGGTATTGGCAAGCGTTTTGACGGATATGGATTTCAACTGTAATGGGCTTCCTTACCACTTCTTCAAATGCCATTCAGATGACATAGCACTCAGTTTTGGAAGGTGCTAGTATTACTATTAGCCATAGGATGGTAGTTGTGCAGGCCCAGCGGGAACGAACACCAATGTGGGTCGGCGAAGCGGGGAAAGTCACTGCGAGGAAATCATCTCCTCTTCCCATGAGAAATGGTTCGCCTGACCGTGTGTCCTGCACACCTTGCCCCATCTTTCCTAGGTAATTTTGTTCTTCAGCTACGAAAATAAGAAGCGGTTTCATCATTGCTACTTGAATCCTTTATATTTAGCCATTTGTTCAAAACTGCACTAATGCGCGATCGTCTGTTTGGATCGTTTTTTTTGCCGACTGTAGATTGCCTAGTCTGAACAGGATAGGATTCCGCTTGTGATGAACCGCTCTTAGGCTCCGTTCATACTTTGCGGCAGCGTCCACCAGCGACCATCAGCGTTTCGAGCGTCCTCAGCGTCAGCGACTAGGAAAGTATAGATATCGATCTAGCAGCGTCTACCAGCGTCTACCAGCGTCCACCAGCCACCATCAGCGTCTCGAAGGACTAGTAAAGTATGGATATCGATCTAGTGTCTACCAGCGTCTACCAGCGTCCACAGCGACCAGGAGTAGAGAGTATGGGAAGTAGGAGGGTAGCAGACTGCTGAATTAGGCGTCGCAAAATTGTGGAATGTGCAACCGCACTGCACTAGTACACAATGCCGTACTTCTGGTCGCTGGTGGACGCTGATGGTCGCTGGTGGACGCTGGTAGAGGCCAGATCGATATCCGTACTTTCCTAGCCCCTTGAGACGCTGGTGGACGCTGGTAGTCGCTGGTAGATGCTGCCGTTCGCTAGATCAATAAATATACTTTCCTAGTCGTAGACGCTGACAGGACGCTCGAAACGCTGATGGTCGCTGGTGGACTCCAGTGGTCGTTGCTGGACGCAGCCACAAAGTATGAACGCAGCCTCAGAAGGTTGGCGTAAAAATGAAACGTGTCGTTATTTCGTCAACGTGGAATATCATGTCGTTCATATTAGTCCCTGGAAGGAGTGCGTACAGATGCCCCCACCCCCTCAAGCCGAACAGCGCCCGATCACGTACCTGTCTCAAATCCTCTTCATCGAATATACCTTTGTGCTGTGTGAAAAACCTCCTCCATAGCAGTCGAGCACAGTCTTCCATGACAGAAGTGGGATGTTGCTTTTGAACAGCAAGAAGGAGTCGTTGAGCAAGTGCCGTAGGTTTTCGACAGCGCCAGCGTTTTGAAGTCCTAAAACGCGTGGAACAAAATCGTGCATTGTCACAAGAGTTACATCACACTTCATCTGCAGGGTACACCATTGAGATGGGTGGAATGATAGCTCTGTACCACTCTCCCAACGGGACCCCGGCCCTTACAACCCATCTACTACGTTACCAAACTTCCCGAAACTTCAACTTCCAACTTCCCACAAAATTCCGAAAATTCCACCGGTTTCCTCAAAAACTGCCGTCCAGGTATACGTGAAAATGAGCAAAAATATCTTACAGCTCAGTAAAAATTTCTGGCGAAGCCAGACGACCTTTTGCC